GCGGGCGCATCGTTGGGCTATAGCGCGATGTGTGTTGTAACATGGAGGGGTAGTGAAGAAGTTAAATAATTATACCAGGCTAGCCAGCCAGCAGCCAGCAGTGAACTCAGACAGCTACCGATAATTACTGCCTGCCGACAGGTTATAATTAGGCCTTACAGAAATCGAAGACGCTTAAGTCAAGTATTGAAAGCATACCAACAGAAACTTGTGTGACGTGGTGGTGGTGGTGGTTGGAGGGGGTGGTAGTCTGAAATCATGTGGCATTGGTAGCGTGTCTTGTGGCTAGAGATGTATACGAGGGAGGATATAGGTTTTCTGTGACCGTGCGATGATAGCAAGGTTACACGTGCGTATGTGGGTGGAGCTTGGGAGCGGTTCTAGCACACCGTCTATAAGCGCTATACTATAATATGATCAAGAGCTATAATAAATACTTTTTTTTATTAAAAAATGTGTTTATTAGCTCTTGATATGGTCATGGGTGCAATCCATGACTATTTCTTGGGTTTTGGGCGGGGGCGATAATGAGCAGCGAGATGTGTAGGGAGTGTATTAATAGAGGGCAGAGAGATACGTAGGGGGACCGACGTGTGCTGATAGAGGGGAGAGAAATGTGTAAGGGTAGGTGTGTTGATAGAGAAGAGAGAGGGCGAGAGAGGTGTGTGGCGGTGTGTGTTGATTGTGGAGCGAGAGTGAAGTGGGAGGGAGATCCGTTGAGAGGAGAGAAAGATATTTAGGGGACAGTGCGTGGATGGTAATGATAGAGATGTGTAGGCGGTGTCTGGCTGGATGTGTAAAGACTTGAGTATTGTTATACACCTAGAAATTCATTGTCTTAATTTCTGCCATTCCTCACCTAGTATTACTGGGTGATGCTGATCACTCACGTATCGCATTTCTTGTGCTGTTGTAACATTTGTAGTTTTTTTTTTTTTTTCGTTGTAATCACTATATGATCATTCACGCTTCCAACTAATGTCGCAGGACTTGCTGACAAGGTCAACTGAATGTGTCACTGTAGCTTTGATGCAACTAACGGCCATCGCGTTACTAAATCTGCGTTAGCTAATGCCTACACTCGTCTTCGCCACTACGCAAATACGCCGTAACTAAGTTCTCGTGTATAATACATCTGTAACTGCCTACTCGCGTGTCGCTGTCCTGTATTAAATGACGCTTCACGCGCCGCGTGTTGTTTCAGTGCAAGCACGACTTCTGCTGGGTGTGTCTGGAGACGTGGAAGAAACACAGCTCAGCGACCGGCGGGTACTTCCGCTGCAACCGATACGAAGCGATCAAGAAAGCTGATGAGAAGACCGACTGTCTCAAATCAGAGGTACCTTCACATAGCCAATAGCGCTCCTTTGGTTTCCAAGGATACTTGTCATTGCTTGTTATCATTGGTAACAGTACAGCACAAATAATGGCTTTGAAGGACTAAGTTGCTCGTATATGGTCATCATTGGCAACCGTACAGCAAAATTAATATCATCAAATGATGAATATCCTCATGTTTGCTCAGTAATGTTTACATTGTACAGATAGATGATTTATGCCTTATAACAATAAGTCATTAATCGTGCTTGATCTGACAATTTTAAAACGTGATCATATATGAGTCATACATGGCAAATGATCCATAACAAAACGGTTTAGCAATTCATTGAATTTTGTATCATATTATGCAGTTAGTTCAGTTAGTTACCAGGGCTCTGATTTATAATTGCTGCTAATGGTACAGGTGGAAGAACAGAGCCGTAGACTACAGGAGTTGAATCGTTTCATGCACTACTACACGCGATTTAAGAACCACGAGCAAAGCCATCAGGTGGGTGATCTAGTAAACATCACAAAAACAAGAGGGCGTGGATACTACAGTGAAACAGTAGTTTCATTTTCGAATTCAATCACCAGGTTAATAAAAATTCGTTTATGGGAAAGCCGAGCATGACAAGCCAGTATCCCATCCCGTTCAATTGATTGTTTCTATGTTTTTCAGTTGGAAGAGCCACTGCTCAACTCTGCCAAGCGAAAGATGTGCATCCTTGCCAGTGCAATACAGGATGAAGGTAGCTGTGATTGTCTCTTGTGCCCCTGAATCATTATGCATTTTACAGATATTACATTGCCTAATATGACGTAAAGAAATTAGCAAAATGTCTGAATATGTAAGTTGTTACACACTGTGCTGCCTGGAGATTCACTCATAATTAAGTGCCACGAGATTACGGTTACTTTTAAGTACGGTTATTACCTAATCATATATAAAACCTAATAACTTTTGTTTTGAGATTTTAAATAGGATGTACATTTCAATAAACACCTAATTAATTCCTGTTTAGCAAGCCATTGATTGTACAATCGCTCCTGTAACACACCTCCTGTACCCCTCCTGCAGTGACATTCTGCAGCGAAAATGTTTGCATGATGTTTTATACCCAATTAATAACCCCCAGTTCCCTCATCAGCTACAAAACTTATTGAAATTTTTAATTTCAGTTAATAGTAGACAATTTCTATCTTTCATTAATTTATTGCAGCACATTTTTCATCTCTTTTCTTTCCAATGCTTTTGCTAACATTTAATTTGTATAATGTGTCTAATATATCGTGTGATCATTGATGCTATACATGAACCTAGTGCTGGGAGCCCTTGTTCAACAACATCATAGTTACGACCAAGTTGCAAATTGATATTTTGTTGAAAGGCAATATGTACAGATGTGATGAAGTGGTGTTTCATCTTTCTGATGGGTTCGTAACCGGAAGGCTTGCACATTTTCCAGCCCCAAAGATCGTCGTTGTATTACCCATGGTCGTAATAAACTGCAAAAATTTCGAAAGTTAATCTCCATTGATCTCATAGAATGCATGATTGCATGGCCCAATAACTGAAAAGCAATTTACTGCCTGTAGTAAACTAGAGTCGAGTTTGAGAATCCATCTATGGCTTTATGGCTATCCATCTATGGTTATCATTTTAACTTCTTCCAAATGTGTTAAAACATTGAGTTACAGATTTCTAGAGGGAAATTCTGTATAGTTCCATTAAAATGGGTGATACTCCATTAGGAGTGTTCCCAACTTTAATGTCATTAATGGTCATAATAACATATATATATATATATGGTCATGGTCATATATTAGTTTGTGGTTTAATTTCATTTAGGTTAGGGTTAGGGTTAGGGTTAGGATTATCAATCATTAATCATTAATGATATCAAAGTTGGGAACACTCCTAATGGAGCGTTAGCCGTTAAAATGGCGAAAGTGTTTCATAAATGCCTAATACATTCTGCAAATGATATGTATCTAACATATGATATAATTATTCTGGTGGGAATACCAGATATTACTGGTTGAATAAAATGTATACGACCAAATGACTTTAAAATTGCCCACATTTGAGTATTTTGCTGAATTTCGTTAGAGTTGGAACAGTGTAGGTAAAATGTGTTGTTGGTTTTCCAAACTAATGAGGGATTTAATTTACATTTATATTGCTCTTGCATATGATGCATACACGTAAAGATGAGGCAAACTTTATTGCGTGCCTTGAGCTGAGTTTATAAGTTTCATTCTCCTATTTTACTCCACAATTAGTATATTCAGGGGCCGGTTTCACGAAGCGTAATTAAGTCCTTAATCATGATTAACTTCTCGTACTTAAATTGAAGTGACTATTTCACGAAGCGTAATTAACTTTAATCATGATTAAGTTAATCACAATATTTGATTCTACTCAGGAGCATAATTAAATCCACTAATCATGATTAGTTGCTAGTACTAGTAGTAGTATGTAGGTAGTATCAGGAGTTAATAAAGACAATTTTGTCTTTATTAACTCCTGGTAGTATGTAGGCTGCAGATTTTACAATTGGAAATTTTACTTCCATTCTTTCCCAAGGAAATTTAAATTATCTAAGATTAGCTGTACTAATTTAGTCATTATAATTGCAAATTAATTCCTTTTCATGTACTGAATTTGCAGGTACCTTTGGCGTTGTCCTCCATTTAGAATACAGTGTAATTCATGTTTAAGTCGGCTAATTATGTGATTAGTTAAAAGGATCGTTTACTCTAGGTTCTAGGGTTATTTTCAGTTAATTTAGGTTAAAATTACGCTACATAAAAAGTTTCATGGTTCAATTATCACCATTAGAAATATTATTAAAAAATGTTTTAAAACTATAACGACTACAGTTTGATTACAACGACGGTGGCGCCACTGAAAGCACACGATCTGATAAGTTGCGCAAAACCACTTTTCAGCCAAGGGCTACAGACTGAGGGTGTTTCTTATTTATTAATTTAAAAGCAAAAGGATTGTAATATCTTATAAACGACATATAGTTTCTGTTATAATATGGATAAATTTGCCCTAAAATGAATATCGTTCGGTTAAATAGCATTTAGGTATAAATATAATTGCACTTTTGTGATTAGCCCTCGGACTGTAACGTGCAAAATAAATTGTCAAATACGCAACTTTTTCGGGGTGGCAGCACGGTCGCGGGTGTCATGGCGCCGTTCAAATTTCGTAGCGTTGATGTGAAATTAATTATAACAATTAAATTAGGTATCTGGTAAAAAATACGTGTGGGTATAGACGATTTGTTATACAGTAAGTACAGTTGTATACAGTAAAATCCTAGAGTCTACTATCCCTTTAAATATGTACTTAAATCGCTTCGTGAAACAGATTTTTAAGTATGATTAGTGATTTAATCATAATTAAAGTTAATCACGCTTCGTGAAACCGGCCCCAGGTGTTTTAACATGGATTTCTACTTGCATCAAGTGAAATTCCTTATTCTACAAGGTTGGCAATGTTACTCTTTGTACACCTAGCTATTCACTGTAAAAAGTTCGACATGTTTTTTAATGGGACTAAATTAGAACTGTATAGGTACTGAAAATGCATATTTTGTTCGTATAAGCAATATATCAATTCACGAAAGTCAGTATCACTCACAAGCACATTGGCGCCATCTAGTAGGACCTCTTGTAACTTATGAGCAACTCATTGTTACAACATTTGTTACATTGTTATTTTATTGTGTGTGACCCATAGCCTACTAGGGCTGAAGGAGTCGTTGTCGTATATGTAGTACCCGAGGTGTCGGCGAGTATGTCGCCTACGCCTACTCCCTAACCCTAACCCTAACCCGAACCCTAACCCTAGCCCTAACCCTAACACCCTAACCCTAACCCTAACCCTAACCATATCAAATAGTTACCTCAGGTACATATTATACGGCATTATACGACAACGACCCTTCGTGCCCTACTAGGTTATGTATTTAAATGTAGATAAATTATTGATATTTCTTATTGGACATTAACTAAAATTATGCAGCACAGTAGCAATTACAGTGTAAATAAATAAATAAATAAATATATAGTAGTATAAGTATACAAGTATATGTGTATGTATTATAAACATCACAGTTTTTCTGGAGTCTTGTCACGCATTTCTATCATCTATCTTCCAATTTCCTGATCACTCCCAATGATCCTATAATGATATTATCAGTGGCATTGAGCGGTCAAAAATTTTGTGTTGATCCATCCTAATTAGTATTATTGTATTTGTATTATTGTATTATTGATTATTCATAATTATATCTGAATAGATATTTCCTCTAAGTTATTCATGTGCGGTAGAATGAGAGGAGGTAGACTGGGAAGTAGGGGGTAGTATCATTGCTGCTGTCATTGTTTGTTATGTGCTATCACACACTGTCACAATGTCACGTGCTGTCTCTACTGTCTGCACAGCCGGATCAAGTCAGGTGGACACCAAGTTCATTGAGGATGCGATTCAGGAACTGCTGAAGGCTCGGCGTGTGCTGCGCGCCTCATACGTCTATGGATACTACCTAGAGGACCATGGCTACAACAAGACCATCTTTGAGTTCATGCAGGTAGGGCACCCAGCTGAGCAGAGGTTTTCTTGTTATATAATATTTTAAGGAGGGTTGTTGTTTTCTCAGTAGATAGCAAATGCACGTCATATTAGTTGGCAACATCAGGTTGACTCTAATCTTTAATCACGTTATTTTTATTATACTAAATTTAACCTCTACTCAAGCATTACGCAATGCTCGATAGCATTTTCCAGTAAGTTTTTATGTTCGATATCATGCTTCCAGAGCAATTTGGCTTGGTTTGGGAGGAACAGCATTGACGGTAGAGAAATGTGCAAAATAATCTGTGTGCTACAATAATTTAATTTCAAGATAAATTCAAAATATTTACGTTTGCCTGCTGAAACGGTCGCGTTGGTAAATTTTGCATTTATCTTGCAATTGGATTATTTTGTGTGATAAAACGAGATGCGTCTCTAACGTGCCCCATGCTTGTGTGTTTTAGACGGAGCTGGAGGAGGTGATGGAGAGTCTGTCGCAGATGATCGCGCGGCCATATCTGCGCACGCCGCGCTACAAGATTGTGCAGACAGCACAGCTGGTCAAGCGCAAGCGCCATGAATTTGTGCTCTCCGTATCGAAGGGCCTCATCCCACCAGAGACGCCGCCCGCATTGCGCAGGTTCCGCCGCCGTCACTTCCCCAACCTACTCGACATGGACCTGGATGATGTGAGTGTGTGTGTGCGTGCGTGCGTGCGTACGTGCGTGCGTGCGTGCGTCTGTGTATGTGTGGAGGCACTGTGTGCGTGTGGAGGGGATAGGCACGAGTGTGAGCACGTACATGCATGCATGTTTCTGTGTGTGCATGCATGTGCGTGCATCCGTGCATGTTGGTCAGCGTGGAATCAATTGCTTTTCCCCACGTATCGATTTCCTTGTACGACGTAAGCCGTAACTCGCATGCTGCTGCTAAATTTCCAGAAGGATTTCCGCAAAGCGATCACGGCCTCGCTGAAAGACATCGACCCCAACGACCCGTGGGTCAAGGACAGCTCAGGTCGGCACACGAACCTTGCTGCGCTCTATGACTGGCCGGACTATGACTCGGACGAGAATGACGTCACGATCGCACAGAATGCGTCCGTGTTTGGTGAGCGATGGCGGAGTGATCCACTTGACGCAGTTGACCCGCGGCTTTAGCCAATCAATGCTGTGATGGGAGGTTATAAAAACAATGATTTGTCTTATAAAAACTATGAAATTGCTGAAAATTTTACATTTTGGTGTGCACATGGACGGGCATACGTGCACAAAGGTGTCAAGCTTGACCAACCTAGCAGCAATATCATGCGCGCTGATTGTTCATATAACCTGCGGATCATCAACGTGTGAAGCGGAGAATCCTCACAATTCTGTCTTCATTAGCCTAGCACTAAAGGATAGGTGTTTGCACATTTTGATCAGTGTGGTTATAGGGATGAATGCATTTGCAGTTTTCAATGCGTGTGTGGGTCTGGTGGGAAAATATTTGTGTTTCTTCCATTAATGTAGTGTTTATATAACCTCCTAAAGCCTCACTGGTGTAGCATTAAGTAAACAATTTGCAATCTTTGTTGCTACAGTGTTAAGTGTATCCATCCATCCTTCCTCCACCTTCATGGGTGTTTCCCCGGCCCTTCTCTGCCCCATCGTAATCTCACGTGCTCGTTGTCTCCTGGTAGGTGTGTGCGCGAGGCAGGGATGCACGCGTCCCCGCGCACAGAACCCGCGTACGGGGGCCGTGCATGACCACTGCAGCCTGCGTTGCAGCCGCACAGATAAGCTAGGCAAGCCAGACGAGGAGACGGCGTCACCGCCAGCCTTCGTCACCGACTATCACATGGAGCTGATGCTTGCGCTCGAGATGTCTCGCTTGCAGCTCATGCAGGACATGGGCAGCAGCACGCAGTTGCACGTCAGGTATCACGTGGCACCATCTACTGGCAGTTTTGAGTCGAGCAACTCAATTAAAATTTTCCATTGCGAGAATTGCGAAATATCTTTTTGGGGGTTGTTTTATCCTTTAATTTTAACTTGTGCGAAGAAGGTGTAACTATTAACTTTGGAATAGGTTTGAAAATACTGAGGAATTTTATGCGTAATTTATTGTTATGTTGATCTGGAAGTCAGATCTATAGAGTGTATATCATTTCCAAGCTTAAGTACTGAATGTGGCTCGTATTGCACTACTTATTCATTGTTTTGTTGTGCAAACCTGCATAATATTATAAATGTAGATGACCTAACTCAATGTGTGTTATGGTGCTGAAATCCTAATATGCTTATTCTCTTTCATACAGCGGCGGCCCCAGCCACAGCAATCTGCAAGCAGAGGGCACTCCGCTCAACAACGCCCCCAGCCAACAGCAGCAGACGACAGTGAAGGCTAATTCAGTAGGCACGAGTTCAGACATGCTGTCGAGTTCACCGCTAGATCCCAGGAGCCTGCGAGAAGTCCTCAATGTGTCGAGGCTTGTTCCCCCAGGTATATATACCCCCTCCAATTATTTATCCAAAACTACATACCATAGATGTAAATGGTACATACATAATTACTTGGGTACTTTTAATCTGCATAACTCAATCTTAATTTCCTGAATTCAACATTGACTCTATTGTCGCATCTCTTGCGACGTGCAACATTGCATGACACACGATTCAATGACAAATGTACTAATGTGAATCACGTGTGAATGTCAAATGTAGAAATCAGCTAAATGTACTTGCAGATTTTTGCAATATTTGTTGAATGGTCAGTCATGGTTTCGATGTTTACTCACGCATCGCTCGCTAACAATTCGTTATGTTTCGGTGTTTCAGAAAACGCGGACGACGACCCAAACCTGCGCATCGCCATTGAGCTATCATTACAGGACTCCAACTCCCCGATCCATCTGTCATCCCTCCCCGCCGCCACCACTGCCGCAGCATCCGCCAACACTGACGCCGCTGACCAGAATGAGGAACCCTCACTACCGCCAGAGGGCGCCCAGAACAACGATGCCGCCGCTGCACCCGACACTTTGCCGACACTCGCATTCAGCGACACGGACGGTCGTGCATGCGACACGTGGGTAGAGGGCGCTGCTGGCGGCGGCGACGGCGACGAGCTGCCGGATACACTCGTGCTGCCGCAAGTGAAGCTCGAGAGTCTCTTCCTCAAGGATCTGGAAGACAAGCAGCTGGACTACAGCAACAACCTGCGCACGAAGAGCCCCAAGGAGGACCTGAAGACGGCGAAGCAGCTGTTCAAGTTCGACAGCTCGCTCGATGAGACGTCGGAGAGCATCCTGCGTAACATCAACCGCAAGATCATCACAGACGTGTCAAAGGTCGCTGAAGTCGACGCCGAGGTCGAGGCGGAGGAGCGCAACATGGCGGCGAATTTCGACATTGCTAAGTTTCCGCGCACGCAGACGGCGCCCTGCTCGCTCGAGCGGTCCGCCGAGGGGGATGCGGTTGCCGCGGGCAACGCAGCCACCGTCATCGCCGCGGCGACGCGGCGGTCTGGGTACGCCGCCACTAAGGGTATCGCGATCTCGCATAACAATCTTAGCGAGGATGGCGAGGAGTCGCTAGTGGGCGCTGTTGGTGGGTGCGAGCGTCGCACAGTCAGCGAGGGAATGGAGGAGACGGCGGCGCACGGCCGCTACGTGCCGCGCCGCCAGACCTCGTATGACTCACCGCTCTCGTGCTCGCCCGAACTTGCCGGCTTCAACGCCACGACCCCACATAACATCGTGCATGGCCTCACTGGCTTTGACGCGCGGCCCCTCGGCAGCGGCGCGGCGTGGGCGGAGTCGGGGGACAAGGCGCGGGCAGCCGCATTCGTGCGCGGCGGCCCCTCGAGCAGCGCGTCGATGGGCTGCGTGCACCACGTCGGCTCCCCGCTCGGCTTCCGCCCACTCGTCGCGACGTCGTCGTCGTCGGGAAACCTCGCCGGCGTCCCCGCGGCGGGCGACGTCGCGTTCCCGGACGAGATTCCCGTCACGGAGAAGTTCCGCGCGATCCAGGCAATGCCAAAGATTGAGAAGAAGTCGCGGGCGGAGTCTCCGCTCGGCGCCATGTTTCGGCGGTCGAGCTCGCGTCGGCGCGGCAAGAACCCGGATGCTTTCCTCTCTGGAAAGTCGCAGAGCCCTGTGCCGGCGGATTTCAACAACCGCACGTCGAGCAGCAGTGCAGGGGGCGCTGGCGGCAGCGGCAGCGGTAACACGACGCCAGCCGACTGCAAGCATCCGGTGATCTGGATGAAGCGCGAAAATAAGGAGCGGGAGAGAAGCCAGATAGACAAGCGACAGCTGGAGAGGTCGCACTCAGAGGAGGGCACGGCCTCATGCAGGTGAGTGGCTGCGAGTGCTGTTGCCATGCAGCTTTATCGTTCATACAGGTATTGGCATCTTCATATAGTTCTTCATACGATTGTATATATCTTCATGTTTTCTTATACTTGTGTTATTATACTTGCCTCCTTGTTCTGAACATCCTTGTATCCTACTCATCTTTGTGTGACCCTATATATCTTTGTGCACATTGATTCTTTGTATGCATTTAACTGTCTTAGTGTATATATTTGTACACATTTTTTTTTTTATATCTAGGCTTTTCTGTATACATCTTAATAATTGTTTTTGGTGTACTGTAGTGTATCTCTATATGCATCTTTATATATTCACATATACTCTTGTCTATGCATACATAAATTTGTATATACAAATATTTATTTGTAACTTTGTATATTTGTATCTGGTGTCGGCATCGTTACTTCACCTCCAGCATGGTGTAATTATGTTAACTCTTGCCTTCCTGTCTTCTAGGATTACCTCACCGCCCTCTAGTGGCAAGGGCTACCTTCTGCGTACGTACTCGCAGCGCTCGAAGAAGGACCGGAAGTTTGGCCGAGTCAGCCGCGACCAAGACAAGAAGTCTGACAAGGAGGACAAGCGCAAGAAAAAGCTGAAGAAGCTGGCTCTGGCTTCGTGAATGCGCGTGAAGGATGGTGATGTATGCAGACACATGGTTGGGTCTCAGATCACAGGAGCAGTACAGTGCCACCTTTATCATACCAAGTAGCAGAACCACATAACAGCAAGGACGTTTGTGTACTAATGCGTCAGGGAAAGTAGAAGGGAATGGGAGTGGGAAGTAAATGGTAATGCAGTAAGGTAGAAGCCCCACAGTGTGTCATGTTTCTCCCGAATGTGGCTACATGAATTGGCAGGTTCGCAGCCTGGTGGTGTTGGGATAGGATGGGATCGGTAATAGAAGCATCGGTGTTAGCTGCGTATGCTGGCTGCGACCGAGCATTAGAAACTACTGCCTCCTGTCATCGGAGTATTAACTCATGTTACCAGGTATTTTTGTGAACCTGCCTCATCTGGTACCAGGGGTTACACATGCCGTATCATGGAAGCATTCGTTACTTGTTAGCTCTGTTGCATTCCTGTCGGTTCCCTCTAGAGCTTGCAGGGTGGGTATATGTCTGTGAAGCCCTGCTGAGAGCTTGCAGGGATGGGGTATATATTCTGTGAAGCCCTGCTGAGAAGCTGCAGGGTGGGGTATATATCTGTGAACCCTGCTGAGGAACTTGCCAGGGTGGGGTATGTCTGTGATAGCGCCTGCTGAGGCGGCCTTGCAGGGGTGGAATATAAGTCTGTGAGGACCGCTGCTGAAACTTGCCAGGGGTGGGGTATAGTCGTCCTGTGAAGCCCTGCTGAGAACGTTGCAGGGGTGGGGTATATGTCTGTGAAGCCCTGCTGAGAACTTGCAGGGGTGGGGTATATATCTGTGAAGCCCTGCTGAGAACTTGCAGGGGTGGGGTATATGTCTGTGAAGCCCTGCTGAAAGCAGATACCACTAGTCTGAATGTTACCAGATGCTGTGGTGCCTGGCAAACTGTGATTGCATTCCTTCACGGGCGTTTACGCAGTTTTTCAGAGCAGTCACCTGTTTATCATTTAACGAACGTATTATTCTGTAGGTGTAATAGTGCAGTATTATCGATGGCGAATGCTAGGTTTGCAGCAGAAGATGATTGCTTTTGTGATTGTTCAGCGGGTGGTAGTTAGTAGGACCCCTTCAGTAATTATTTCGTAAACATACAGGTGTTTTATTGAAATGACTGTCACTGCGATATGATGACGAATTCATCGGTAGAGGATCAGAGCTGTTCGTATGACAAGTCACTGCTTGTTTACATCTAATTAGGGGCGTTTTGTTGCAACGCAATTGATGGCGTAGCACCTTTAACTGCTGTTGTAGGTGGCTGCCATGTAATAGTCGCACTTGCAGTAGTAGTCTTGTACCACCTTTATATCGCAAGGATTGGGTGAGGTGGTGCAAAGACTTGGTGAGAGCTCAGATAGGGAATTCAAGAGAGAAAGTTGGTGTCTATGGAATATTATGAGTATCGGGTTATGTCATATTATAACATGTATCCTTGTGAGGGACTGAGATAGAGGGAGGGTGGGGTGGGAAGGGGATAGATAGGCGCACATCCAAACAAATGCTAGATCTTTATAATATCGTCGTCGATTGACTTTCGTGTAAGTGTTGAATTTTGTGCCACAAGTAAATCCTATTTATAAACACGTGCACTGTACGAACTGCATATCGCAGGCGGTTGTAATAATGGAAGTCTGTGCGTCTATTAAGATTTTCTAGTCACTTTGCTCTGTACTGAAGTGTGGAGGGACGGGTGTGTGTGTGGCTGCGATGAAGCAGGCCAGGGAGTGAGACTGCAGGTGAAGGTTTCTAAATGTGCGACAGAGCAGGTGTTGAACTGTGTTTCTTGTTGTCTGCTATTGTGTCTTGTGTGTAGACTGGTCACCTATCATAGGTAACCGTCGTCTGCCAGCTATCATGGGTGAGCTGCTATGTGGGAACTGTCATAGGGAAACCGTCGTAGATTGACAGGTGTAGGTAAGGCTGTCACCAGCAAGTAACCACAATCCTGCTTACATGGGCAAGCTACTCAAAAACAAGCTCTCACTGGCAAGTTGTTGTCTGTATAAGCGTCTATTAATACATAATTACAGGGACGCCACGTTACCCAAGCTATGTTTAGCAAGCTACCATGGAGAAGCCACTTTTGGCAAGCTACCATGGAGAAGCCACTTTTGGCAAGCTACCATGGAGAAGCCACTTTTGGCAAGCGACCATAGACAAGCCACTTTTGGCAAGATACAATAGACAAGCCATGTCTGGCAAGCGACCATAGACAAGCTACTTTTGGCAAGCTACCACAGACTAGCGACGTTTGGCAAGCTACCACAGACAATCAACGTTTGGCCAGCTACCACAGACAAGCCACTTTTGGCAAGCTACCATGGAGAAGCCACTTTTGGCAAGCTACCATGGAGAAGCCACTTTTGGCAAGCGACCATAGACAAGCCACTTTTGGCAAGATACAATAGACAAGCCATGTCTGGCAAGCGACCATAGACAAGCTACTTTTGGCAAGCTACCACAGACTAGCGACGTTTGGCAAGCTACCACAGACAATCAACGTTTGGCCAGCTACCACAGACAAGCCACTTTTGGCAAGCTACCATAGACAAACTACGTTTGGCAAGCTACCACAGACAAGCCACGTTTTTGCCAGCTACCGTAGACAAGCCACGTTTGGCCAGCTACCACAGACAATCAACGTTTGGCCAGCTACCACAGACAAGCCACTTTTGGCAAGCTACCACAGACAAGCCACGTTTGGCTAGCTACCATAGAC